AGAGGAGAGAGAAAGAGAAATTCCTTCACGTCATTTGGATTATCGACGACGCATTTACACGGATTTCTGCGGCGTTGCTGATGACGGAACCTGCTTTTTTACGAGACCGACAGAAAGCGCCGCACGAACGACAAAAAGTCCCGGTCGATCCGAACTGCAAAAAGAAACATTATCAATCTCGCCGGATACAAGATGAGGGAAAAGGCGCGGGAAGAGAAGAGGGACCGCAGGTGTGTCCGCGCTACGAAGAAGTCGCAAACTTTTATTGCGGCGTTTGCAGAGGATGAGAGAGAGAAAGAGAGAGAGAATGACCTAGAAAGTGAGACAGTTTCAGATACTACCTGTGAATCCGTATCGCGCCTTGGAAAATCTCGGGGCGTGCATCGCACTAACGAGAACGTACAAAAGACGCGGAAGTCGTCGAAAAATAAGAATATAGTTTATAGACTCACGAAGAAGCGCGCGAAAGAAAACGTCGCTCCAAAAGCGGGGAGGCAAAAAAAGAAATAAAAAGTATGATAAAAAAAAAAAGAAAGAAATGTTGAAGACTGGGATGTAGTTATTTTCTCAGAGGAGAATACAGAGGAAAACGTAATAAACGAGACTGCGAAAGCAGATACGGTCTACAAAAATATGGCGCTACGTAAAGAGATCATAGATAGACGAACGGGTGGTAATAAAAAACACGAAGAAACGCAGACGTATCTCGCGACCGTCTTAATAGAAATGATCACATCATTGCAACCAGCATTTATTTGCGCCAGCTCGATAACAAGAAATGTAAAATGAAAAAAATGCCAAACAAAGCAGCGATCCCGAGATAGGCAGCTACAAAGCGAAACGGGTGAAGTATGAAGTGCGCAACACTTAAGATACATCTATAATGGTCGGACGCGTTTTCACAGTCAATATCGCGCCACAGGAAAAGTAAATGGTACTTTTAAAAATAGCGTTAGAACGCGCGGATTGTTAAAGCATCGCTTTTGATCAAAGTAAAGTCTCTTTCTCTTTTTCTTTCTTTCTTTCTTTCTCTCTCTCTCTCTCTCTCCTCTCTCTCTCCTCCTCTCTCTCTCTCTCTCTATACACCAATAATGCTGCTCCGTAAAATCAAACGCATCTTATTAAAGTACCGTTCGCGTAATAGTAGAAGAGAAAAAAAGAACAATAACATTGCATTACATCGGGACAAACATAATTATATACGATTTTCAAAGAGGGCCAGAATAAACGCAGAGAATCGGTCGAAAAAAAAACAAGAAAGTTCAAAAGAACCGAAGGAGCAAATGGAAAGAAACGAGATCGTTCGCGGATATCTTCGAAAAGTTTTATGCATCATATATGAGAATGATATCAAGCAAATGATATTTCTCGAACATCTCTGAAGATAGAATATCACACGTTGAGCCATTGCGGAAAAATCAAAATTAATATTCACGTAACATAATTTTAAATATTGAAATATTCAGCTAGTCGAAACTGAGGTTTCAAAATGTTAAATATGGAATAATTCTTTGCAATAGTAATCAAATAAGCAGACACATATCTGCAACTAATGCATTATATAGATATCGTTATTCCATAAAACACAGTACTATTGTACATACTTCAACCTAAATATCTTAACATTTAATCCATTTGATAACATCTTTGTCATATTTGCCATAACATAAGAATGTTTTTCCTCCAAAACTTTTTTTTCTACACTGAAGAAACTCAGAAATTTCCGGATTTTAATTCTAACGACAAGCGCGAATAAAAATACCGTGGAGGCAATGTTCTACCAATTTTTCGCAGAACGCCAGAAAGTCGGAATTAAACATTCATCGCACAGTCTGCTGCGCGTTAATGACCAAGAAAAAACGGGTAACATACGGCAGAGCAGACAGAATGCCGCAAAGAATCACCCGCACATAGTGTAGAGATGAACCTGGATAGGGATAGAGGGAGATAGAGGTAAAAAGAAACGAGAGAGAGAGAGAGAGAGAGAGAGAGAGAGAAGAAGAAGAAGAAGAGAGAGAGAGAGAGAGAGAGAGAGACAGAGAAAAACAAAAGGTGGAGGAAAAAGGGCAGAGAAATAATTATAGCATTATTCGCAGGGGTGCACTGCGGCGGTGTCGGTGCAACAAGAGACGGACAGAACGAAGCGCGCAGAAAAGAACATCGCGGTGGCGGCCACTAAACAGAGCGACGCGCGTGAAAGGAAGAACGAGCGGCGCAAACGTAGAAAGGAAGCCCTCCTTAATAAAAGACAAGGGAATATCAGCGACCTCACGCCTGGTCGTGACAACGACGTTCGCATCCCATTCGCTTCCAGCGTCCTTTGAGCGAGAAGCCATCGTCGTCTCTTTCTCCTCGTCCTCCTCGTTCACGCTCCGCGTTCTCCCGCCCGCCGTGACCCACCGAGATACAACCCCTGAATCCGGTACGATCCGACAGTGGGGAAGGGGAGATTATATTCCGTTGTGTCGTCCCTGCCTTTTCACGTTGCGCGCGCGTACACTCTCGACTAAACAGGCCATTTCATCATAGCGCGCGGATGCTCCGTGTTGTTGTCGTCCCCTTTTTTTTTCACTATTTTAATCGTTCTCAAAAAACCAACAGCGATTGTAAAAAAAAGCTAGCTGAATTCAATTGTAACATTCAACAGAATTTTTAATTCTTTATTACTAAATGCCCCGTGTTGAAATTTTATTATTTTACAAAATTAAATACGGTTGAATTCAATGATATTTTATGTACACGTATAATTTTATTTTTTTATATTCTTTAACACAATTAAAGAAGATGTAATTTTGTATCATGTTTTAATGTATAGCACAAAACAGATATCTAACACCTGATGACAGATATGTACTTGCATTTGATAGATTTACTTTAATCCTCATAACGTACCCTCGTCATCTATGAACACCAAAATAAGATTTTACAGCAACTTTTATCGCACGAAAACCATAAACGTTTTCGCACGACTCATAAAGTCGAACGTAAATGTCCTCTCCTACTTTCGAGTTATAGATATGAGTCCATGCTTCTTCTTGCACAACTCGCTATCTCCAGCAACTTCCACGCAACACACGATTCACGAAATATGCTCGCGCGTATCTATTTTAGGAATGGCTGCTTGTGCAAGGGAAACAGTTTGCGACTATACACGCTCACTATGGGTAGTACATGTGCGGACGCGGCATTAAGGGCGTGCAAGGCAAACGGATATATATGAAGTGAACAAGAGAGAGAAAACGAGAGAGAGAGAGAGAGAGAGAGAGAGGGAGGGAGGAGAGAAGAGAGAGAGAGAGAGAAGAAGAGAGAGAGAGAGAGAGAGAGAGAAGAGAGAGAGAGAGAGAGAAAGAGAGAGACAGAGAGAGACAGACAGACACAGAGAGAGAGAACGAGAAAGGGATATCGATGCATGCGCGTGACCCCGATTCGAATCGCCCGAAATGCGAATCTCTCCGAGTTCGGAGGCACTCGGAAAATAATTAGACCCATCGGGTTCCGGTACGCGGTCTAATGAGAGGCTTCCTCGGGCGGACGCGACGGAATCTCCGCGATCTCCTCGCGCGGAATGCTAATCGCCTGCAATTACGCGATTGCATTTCGAGAGGAAAAAGCGTCGACAAAAAAAGATACAATGTAGGAAATTTATATTGCACCCGCGTAATCACCCATAATGCCAGATGCGTTGCTTTGGACAGATTTGAATACGGTTATTTCTAAAATCCACCATAAGCGCGCGGAAACTCTTTCACAAAAATTGAGACAAAATTTTCTTTCTTTACATACACATAAGAATTTTGAAAGAAAAACTAATTGTATAAATTGTCCTTGTATCCTCATATTGAAAATTTCTAGTTTGTGCTTATAATGCAATTTTATCACGATATATTCTTATTTATTATTCATGATAATTATTTCCATAATTTGCAAAAATTTTATATCAGTAAAATTATAATTAGAAAAGATAAAGATATTTTCTTACAATACGTTTACTAATTCTGCAAGAATTATTTTTTGAGAATTATTTATTGTAGTAATATATATTTTTCAAATTTAATATTAAATGACAAATGTTACCATGAACTTGGAGAACAAAAAAGAAAATTTTATTTGTGCATTGAAATTTTTCAGTGCATCATAAAATATTTGCACGTCGGCGAGAAGCAGCTATAAAATATTCTAGTTTAATTCAGATTATAAGTCCCTATTGCGCGTACGTGCATTATTGAACTGCATAGCTGAAATCTCTCGCGTCGACGCTGCAGTCAAATTATGCATTCATTAATCGCTCATTATGCGACCATCTTACTTTCAGCATGATAATATCGGCACAGTTTTACAAAAGCAGAAAATATAATAATGCGTAGAAAGTCGAAGTTAACGCGTATTTTCATTATGAAGTAGATAAAAAATCAATATTATTATTAAAATTTCCTACATTAAAATGCCCATTGTATAAATTATGTAAGTATACATTACTAGCTTGTTTCCACTATTGCAAGAATTTTCAAGATGAATATAAATTCAAATATGCAATTAATATAAAATTATTTATACTCCTCTTATTCGATTACATAAAATATGTAATCATGTAATATATCACAGAACAAGTACGATATGTGATCAATCACTCATCGCAAAGTTTGCCGAAGCAATTTGGATATATGCATTTCTCAAGTACATATAAACTGTAAATTTTTTTAAATATTCTAAATAAAAGAAATACTTTAAATAAGAATTTTGAAAATAAAGATAAATTTAGTATACCTGTGCTAAAATTTTTCAAATTTACGACTTTTATTACTTTCAAAATAAACGTCTCAATTAGTGGCTATACATTCGTAAATATTTTAACGGAGAAATGCCTTTCAACGTAGAAAACTATTTTTAAAAACAAATAAGACAAACTCCGAGACATTATTGCGTATAAATATATATTTGCATAACAAATATTGCGAAATTTATCTACGATAATAATTCCAAACTAATGAAACCAGACTTACGTGTCGCGCAGGATATCTCGGCGAACAGCGCGATCGACAGTAATCCAACCGCGAGGAGGAGCGTGGTCAGGAAGAACGATCTCGAGCTGCAGCCCATCACGGCATCACTACTGATTACTACTCGATTCGCGCAGTAGTCCTCGCCGGATATCACCGACGGCGTGTCTCGAACTCTCGGCGACGCGAGAGACTCGTCTCTTCCCAGCTCAACTGAGCTCGAGGATCTCACTGTCACTCTCGCGGCGAGAACGTCCAGCTGTCATCCGCGCGAAAGAGTCCGCTCGAGCACCGCCACCACCACCGCGGACGTGCCCGGCGCGCGATTCAGCATCGACGATGCACCGTTACGCGAAGAAACTGCAGTTTCGCCGCGACGAAATCGAACATCAACTTCTCGTCCGCGTCGCGCATTTCTTCGTACACCACCTCCTCGAATTTCCTCTCTGGAGCGCGAATCGGCACTTCACAGGCTGAACCACGAGAATCGACAAGAGACGTACCGAGGAATCTGCAATTTGCCCGTAAACCCCGCGTCAGGAAATCGAATAGACTTCCCGATGCGATCCACTACTAATCAATACATAAAAAAGATCGTGACAACGCTGTGGCCCTTTAAAAGCGTGGTGAATTGGTTGATTTACTGTTGCCAAATGCATAGCTCGATTATCGGACTTTACAAGATCCCGGCCGCGAATTCCCCCGGGCGTAATGTCGACGTAAAGGACCTGTTAAACTTGGGCACTAAAGCGCCATTGTAAGCGACTTAAATCGCCGGTAAAACTACGGTTCACGAAGAAAGAGCTCGTCGATTCTTCAGTAATGTTAAATTAGATTTGTCTTCGCTAATTTATGTTTATGCTGTCTTATATTACTGGAGCGATGCGAATGTACTGCATATGTATGTTTGCGTTACGGGTACAATGAATTACAAATGAGTTATTAAAGAGAAATTGCTGTATCAGTAAAAGTTGTTAATACATACTCAATAATTAACAAGAGTATGTACCGTCGATTATAATATCGTTACATTAAATTACAGTTTTTCCTCTATTTTGAACTAGAATAAATAAAACCGGAATAACGCTAGAAACAATTTTAGATTATTTGCTTTATTGAAATGAACGCGCCACTTACGCTAATTTTAATGCACATATGTATGTGTAACAATCAGATGTGCGCATATGTAATACGCTGCGATTATACTTGACAATGCGTTGCAATGGTTGATCGGCTCGTGATCTTTAAACAAACGTTCGCAGAATCTCTGACACGAAATCGCAAAAACATGATATTTCTAGTTCGCGACGATCTTTTAATTAGTGATAACGTCGTTTTCATTCAACGCACGATTTCGCAGAAAATCATAATCCTATAATCACGAAAACGTGAACGCAGCGCGAATCATTTAACATTTGCTTTTCGAGTCGCGATGATTTACGTGGCTAATTGAGGTAACTCGGATAATTTCGGGCTGTCGGTTGCCGAAATACGCCATTCGCGAACGAACGATTCGAGTGCGCGTTATTCGCATCGGACGGGGGCATAAATCATCTTCGCGTTTCGCGCAAACGGACGACCTTTTAAATTGATCATCCCGGCAGGTCGGTCGTACTTGTAGATTGATACACCGATAGGCCCCGCATACCTCGAACGCGTTAAAAAAGTCGGCCATAAATTATCGTTCTTGATATCCGCGCTAATGTGCGCTTGAATTGATAGCGGGAGATTCGCGTAATTAGGATAATGCGGAGTGAAACGGCGATCGCGAGATCGCGATATTATTTTTCGAAATAACTGGGAAAAAAAAGACCATCTCCGGTACGTTATGCTTGATCCCATCGAGTGTTTTTTTTACGCAGTTGCTACGATCTCTGCAAAAAGCGACATTTTTCGTTGACTGATGATTTTTACCGCGTTCGCTCTATATTCTAAAACAACATACGGCGAAACGCGTTACTCGCTCCGGAAGTTCGCGTTTACGTTGTCCGCTTCGTAAAATTAACGCGCGCGCGCTCGTAACTCTCGCCGTATTCTCGCCTCCGCGCGACAGTGCGCGCGCGCGCGCGCGCGCGTGGCCTAATGTGCAAATGTTGATATTTGATATTACGAGACGAGAGAGACTGCCGGCAGTTAGGTAAGGTAAGGTAGGTAGATATAGTTTCGCCATCGTCAGGACGGAGGCGGATGTCCGAAACTTACGGAAGTAGGTCAGGACGCGTATTTAGGCAGCAGGTTCCGTATCTCGGTATCGGTTTATTCCCACCTGTAATCACCGGTCCGCAAACCGGGTACACAAAGTCCCTCGTGCATATGCATAGCGCGGCCGCTTTGTTCTGACGACCCTTGAACCGCTCGTCTCCTCGCGTGTTGTTTCTGCACTACGATTGTCCTCGTAGCAACCGGTGCGAGACCGAGTCGCAATCTACCTTTGCCCTTTGCTGTATTCCCCCCCCCTCCCCCTTGGGATAAAGTAACGCGTGTGTACCCGAAAAATAAAAGGGAAAAGGTAAATATTCGACCGTGCACCGTTGACATTTCATTTTAAGAATAAGCCGCGTCACGGGCAGTGAACTATCTCTCGTTTACAAATCCCATTCACGTCAAATCACAGCCACAAACTCGTACGTACTTTTTTGACGGGGAGCAGGAGAAGGGCGGGATCGAATGGAGTAGGATGATACGTAATCCGCGTGTAGCGCAATAGCGTCGAGCATCGTCGGCAGAATCGTCGTCGTGTTTCGAAAGCGCGCGCTGGAACGCGTGATGGAAGTAGTTTAAAAAAAAAATCGGAGCGAGATTCGTGCACGCGTCATGAAAATCGAAGTGCATCCGCGAGGCAGCGAATGCGAAAATAATCGAGGGCTGACGAGGCTCGACCCACCCTCCACCGCGGCCGAGAGGCACGTGACGGGCCTCCACGATCGGCACGCGAACTCCGGCAGCCGTCTGGAGCACGTGACGATCGATCTCGCGTGAGAGGATGAGTGCAATTCTCGCGTTCTCATCGAGAATATCGCGCCGTTCTCTTAGATGCAACGGAAAGACCAGTACGGAAACCTTGAAGAATTTTTTGTCCGAATGTCACGCACTTTACACGCTACCATAAGTCAATCGACGAGCTCTCCCTCTCTTTCTTTCGTTGTCACGCATCATTCATGATTTTCCTGCAACGGAAAAATTCAGAGAGCCACTGTTCTCACGGTCGTTACGTTTCGGCCCAACCCCCGCGGAGCTTTTCTAGCATGCTGCGAGCATCCGCTCGCCAAAACTGTTCACATCATCGCTTCTCACCGGGAGACTAAAGCGAGTGACGCTCCTGATGACAAAAATTCTTCCGACACTTTAGCAAGACTATCCCGTTCCCATTGCCTCACGGCACAGCGAAAAGAACGAGCAACATCCGACACACTGACAGACCGGAATAAATCTCCGAAGCGCACCGTGCAGATTCCACAACACCTCGGGACGTTCGGCGGCGTCTCGTTTATTCGCGGTTACAACGTCAACGCGTGCGGTCGCGGGAACATTGCCCGTCTTCGCGACGCGTAGAGATACACGTACCAGTGAACGCACGACGGAACGAACGACGAACGAACGAATGGATCGCGATAAGTACGCGCGTACGAGGTGCGGAACGACGAGCGAGCTTCGAATGCGCGTCGCGCTCTCTCGCCTCTCCGACTCCGCTCTCGAGACTGAGAGTGGAGAGAGAGAGCACCGTCGGACTTTCGAGGGATTCACTACCACCCCTACCGGCGTGGTGGCCGATGCCCCTGCCTGCTTGCTCTCAGCAACCCTCGTGCTGTGCTTCCCCTGCCGCGCCGACCCCACCATCGCGCCGAACTGTGCTCCTCCGCGCCTCATCCGCCCCACTCCGGAGAAGAGGAGGACGCCACCCTATGCGCTCCTACGCGGCTTGTATGTATTTCGGCCTTTCCACTGCTGTCGAGACCGCGCGAATCACGGATGCGTTTTTCCCGGATCAGAGATGCTTGCGATATTATTATCGAAGTATCAGGTACCTAGCTTGCAAAATTGCGGCTTGAATCTCAAACTCTGAAAACTTTGATTATTATCTTGAAGTAATTAAATCGCAAAAAGGAAATATTTTAGCGTTAATTTAAAACTTACATCAATAATATTTATATCTATCTTTTTTTTTTATCATTTGTCAATTCTATACTCGCTCTGATCATTATAATTCTCTGATATTATTTCTACGCAAATAATGTGGAAATATAAAAGCTAATTATATTCAATGATATAACTTTCATACAAATTAATAATTTCTCTTTACAGGTTCAAATATCGATCACAGTAGAAATTTATATTGATATTATTGATCTCTATATAAATGGCATTTATGTATTATAAAAATATAGCTATTTAAATTCAACAGCTTTTCCATGTAGAAAGCATTAAATCATGATAATCAAATCATCACATCAATACGCAACCCACATCAATTGACTTATCATATTGCCGCAGGAAGCCAATCTATCAGCAACTTGCAATTGAACAAGCTTCATTGATTTTACGAAGATAATACATTCTCGTGAAAATGGGTAATAGCAAATTAGCACAATAGATACATATATATGAGATAACAACTCGATGCAACAATTACTCGGACACTAAGTATTCTTCATGTTCAATTAAACACGCCACATAGGTACTTCGACTGAAATAATGATACGCGAAATAATCTTCATTTCAATGGAACACAAACTGCCATGACACAACGGAACACAACGAAAAGAGGAATTCAGTGACACAGAGCATAATCAAAAACCCACAAGTGATTGCAATCAGTATTTTAATTAACGTAGTGAGTAATGAGATGATCACGCGGTGCCACTTTTGATGTTCTTCAAATGCGCATGATTTACTTTTAATGATTAAAATTGCAATAAATGTGGAATAATTTCGCATTAGCAATCAGTGCAAATGTCGCAAAAACTAACCGACTGAATTTTACAACAAGATTACTTTTAAGCCATAGTATACGGCGCACTGTTTGACAAAGATTGTAATTGTAATTTGTGTAATATATAATGATAGTAGACTACTAACCACACAATGTCTAATTCTATTTGAAATTTATTTTTCCTTGACTGTAAATTAAAAATTTAATAAAGCATTTTGCACATATCATCCTTAAACAATAAAAATATTTCGATGATATATTGTATATAGATAATATATTTTAATATTTTGTTAAAACAAAATAAAATTAAATGAGAAAAAAATTTTTTATTATCTATTTATATTTACGAAAAAAAACAATTATTTTTTGTTATTTATTTAAATATTAAAAAAATAGGTTTTCCCATATTTTTGTAAAAAAATTTTTTATTTTTAGATGCTCAAAAATAATTTTGTTTGTAAATTTTCAGAACACTATATATTATATATGTATTCAGAGACAGTCCTATTAAAAATTAAAGCGTGACGGCCATCATTCACTTCAATAATAGCATTTCTCGTACAAAGTAGCTAAAAAGTTGTCATTGAGCAAACTTTTTAAGTAACCTCTAAGACTTTTTAAGTAACTTCCATTTAGAAGTTACAAGCATGTAATAACGTGATAAATATACTCACTATGAACATTTATTGAACATAACGTATATAAATTCGTGTAAATATGTATTTTTGCGTGTGATAAATTTAACTTTGTATTTTATATTTTTCATCTATTCTCTGTTAATTAGAATTTTTTATAATATTATGTATAATATTACGTTCTCAGGTTTAATTGAGCCGGAAAAATATCTGCTTCATTAAAACATTTATATGTTGCAAAAGTTAAAGAAGAAAAATATGAAGTATAAAATTTGATAAAAATGTACTGCATTATTTCATTAAAAACATCATAAGTTTGCATCTGCATAAAATGAAACAGTTTAAAAATTCTTGTGCATCCTTAATTAACTGGATATAAAGCTCGTAACATTAAATAAAATTAAAAAATTGAACTCTCGAGTAAATGGTAGAGAGCAAACGTTTCCTAATAAGAAGATAGTTGAAATATTTTATATTGTATTAAAACATATTATTTTTTAAATAATTTAGCAGTAACTAATCATTTCATAAATTAGATAATAAATATTGTACTTCGCTTACTTAATAGTGTTATAAATTATTATCTTGCTTGATCTTATATGAGAAATTTGTCGACATTATTCAAAACCGCTCTAGGCTATTAGATAGCTTCTGAGAACCTCACAATATAGAAAATTTTAGTTGATTATTATTCCAGAGTGTTATAAAATATGTTATATAACTCATCATTATCACTAAAAAAATGCATTTTTTATGATAAATTACTTATCATATCGTTGCTCTGCTATCGTTCGATGCCTTCTAGGCCTTTTTCTCCTTTCAGCGGTCCTTCGAGGCACTAACACTGATTCACACACACACTCGCGGCGCACGCATTACTCGCGTGCGTATCCGAATACGAAAATCGCGCGACTCCCTTTAAACGACACTCCCGACGCGCACTTTGTTATACGACGGAACGAATATATTTGATAGCACCGATTACGCGCACAAAGATTATCTGTACAATATAAATACATTTACATTACAATGATATCCGAAACAGTACTGTAGTTATACATATATTAATTTTAAAATATGTATTTTGTAAGAAGTCCAAAAAAATTTTTTAATCTTATACTATTATAAATAAAATATAGTAGTTATAATTTCAACCAAAACATGTAATAATTCTGAGGATAAATAAGAAAAGATTCGTTTTAGAACGGTGTTTTCGAAACTCATGCTGTTTAGATGCGCGTACACGATGAACAGGCAGGAATTCAACTAATTTAGGTCCCCCAGAAAGCGCTTACTTATAAGCCCTGTGCCTAAAGCAAAACGGAATGACGGTGATCGGTTACAATTAGCCGAGGAACGACATCTGGTACGAGCAAAAAGTCAACGAGAACAAATGCGCGCTTAAAAAGCGACATTGCTTCTTGCCGTCGCGTTCACTAAAATAACTCCGAGATCGGAGCGATGATGTTTTATTTTTCGGTCAAGAGCGACAAGAAGACCCGGCCTCGACGCCGGCGGACAGAAGGACTTGTCTTAACTCCAATCACGTCTCGGGAAAAACTCCGTCTTGCCCCCGGGGTGCTATTTCCTATTTTACGGTATCTACAGGGTGCTATAAACAAGCTCCTCCCAGGAACGACGTGGGGTATGAAAGGAACCGAATACGGAGCCGGAGGAAGACCCTCAGATGAAAAGTTTGCTTAAAGTGTGTGGTCCCGCGTATTCTTCGGCGATGCGGAGATTCAGAATCATTCCCGAGAGTACCGCTCGCGGACCGCGAACTTTGCATACGCCACCCTTACGCGAAAAGTTCACGAATACACCGCACCCATGAATGATCCGCAGACATCATGCCGTTTTCTATGTAATACGGACCGAGTTTGACTATTTTCACTATTGCTGCCTACAAAAAGTAACTAAAGTACAAGCAAGAAGAAGTAAGGCTGCGCATTTTCGTGAATTTCGAATGCTCTTATAATTTAATGCATGCGTGACGACATTAATAATATCGAGTTTCGGCTCAAATAGCGTATACGCTTCCCATCAATATTAAAATCCATACGAAAAGTATTTATTCTTTTGCTATTATAATTTCTAATCTGTTTTCGTCGATTTACAATGACATTACTATAAAATCTTTATACTAAATTTTGTATTCAATATTGTATCTATAAAGATCTAGCATGTTTCGATTATACAAAGTGGTTTGTACAGATAGCAAAATAGAAATCAATTTCAATCCTTCCTGCCTAGTTTCGAGAGAAATAGATATAACAGTCGACATTAAAGCAATAAGATCACCTGACCGCAGGAGAATCAGTACCAAACTATAACCACTTTTCAAATTCTCGTCGATTTATCGCCCACATATCGTCCAAGGGCAAGTGTGCTCGTCCTATTGGCGACCACCGCCGAGTTTCGCATAGTCTACCGTAAAGTTCGCCACGGTGCCCTTTTGTCAAAACAATGTGCACGCGCGCGCGCGCGCGCGCGATAGCGGTCGCGCTTCCTAGTGCAGGCGATAAAGTTCACCGATATTAACATCTTCGTCGGCGCTGTAATTTTCACCGAGCTGATATACTGCGGCGTTTCGTTGTGCGGCGGTGGCCGTATTACGGCTAATATTTCTCCTCCTTACAGAACGAAAATTGAGTACTTTATAAGGAGGCGGGACATTAATAACTCGTACAGCCGGCCGGTATTTTCAGGACAGCTTAAAAGCTTCTGCCGCATCGATGATATATCGTATGCTCGCGGAAGTAGTGACACGGGCTCTCCCTACACCACGGGAAACCTGCGAGTCTGCGACGAAGAAATCATCATCGCAATTCATACCCCGCTCGTTGATGACACGTTAACCAAGATCGTTTTATCCGTTAGACACTTAAGTAGATGTAGTGTACAAAGCCTATGAATATTTTAAAAACCTACGAAAATATTTTATGTCAAAAAAGAAGGGTTTATAAGTGCTTTTTAAAGCATCCAATATATAAGTGCTTTTTAAAGCGTCCCAAAAAATTTTTACATTTAAAAATAAAAATTTAACACCTTCAAAATACGATAAAAAAGCACAATAATATTATTCTAATATCGTTGTAATGTATG